ACTAGGCGGGTCACCTGGTCATAGAAGGAGATCAGGTTGGTCAAGCAGGACCTGCCTTTCATGAACCCGTGCTGGCTGGGCCTGATCCCCTGGTTGTCCCGCACCTGCCTTGTGAGTGCCCTCAAGATGAACTGCTCCATAATCTTCCCTGGCACAGAGGTCAGGCTGACAGGCCTGTAAAGTACAGACGTTTCCTGTAAGGTGAGAAGATTTAGAATGGTAGTTGCTTTCTAGGCATTAGGCAAAGGAGGGTCTTTTTCAAAATACTGCTGTATTGATTGAATGACTCTTAGTTATGTAAAGGATCCAAATAAAATGTCTTGAGTAAAAAAGGTACCTTTTAATGGGATGACATGTTAATGCAGTAGTTTGCTGCTTAAATCTAGTCCCAAGTGTGTGTATTTTTCAGTATGACTTGATATTTTATTCAGGAGAGAAATTAACTGCAGTTGTAAAAGTTTATGTAGTATATTATAGACAACTTTATTATAATAACATTATAAGTTACTAAGCATGAAGTTTTAAAATACTTAATTTAGTGAGTTTGATTTAGGAAGTACAGGATTTTATTTGTTTAAAACTGTAGCCGGATCTTTCCTGCCTGTATTTGTGGGAAGCCACTTACATCATTAAGTCTCTTTACTATTTGATTAACCTTCTGAAAAGTTCACGTATTTGATGGAAGAGTTTCTACCTCTCTTTTGAGTGACTTACCAGAATCGCTGAGGACTAAAGCTTTGACGTGTTTTGCAGTTGCCATTTAAGTTCATTTCTGTAAATCAAATATTTGAGATGCAGTAATACTTGCTAACTTTTGTAAAGCAATTTGGCATCTGCAATAAAAATAAGTATATAGTTGTTAGTTGGATGGCGACAATGTCTTCACAAACAGTTGCAAAACTATCTAGGAGTATTTGGGATGGTATTTTACATAGTAATCCGAAAGATTTTAAAAGATTTTTTAAAAGATAATAAAGACGTGTTTCCAGTCAGTGAATTTTACTTGCTTTTTTTGTTATGCTTCATTTTAATAAAATGAACATTTGTTTCTGCTGAACTGCGGGGGAAAAAAGGTGGTTTTAATTTTTAGCCTAGGTTCATTACCAGAGCATGTCAATGGTCTTCAAGAATTAATTTTTTTCGTGCACTGACAAGATTCATATTCATCTTAGCTATGGGCCTAATCCAGTTATTAAAAGTTAGGTTGAGAATATTTGTATAATAACAATTACCTTAAACTTTTTTGTTCTTCATCGTCATATCTCTAAACTACACAGGCAAAATTGTAACTGAATATCTGGTTATTTTTTCTTTTTTTGTTTTTAATATTAGGCCACTGATATCTGTGATCCAAACCCTGTCATGATGCTTATTCTGTGTGTCTACCTACATGAAACTCTCCCTCACTACTTACCCAAGAAGACTATAGAATTTACAGGTGCGCTCCATGCAACTGTTGTTAAACAGGTACTGATACCATTGAATTTAGATTTGTACCATTACAAGGTTAAAACACTGTATGTATATATGCGTTTATATTATGTCTATAATACAACAAAGAATTAATGGGTTTCATGTCATTTGGCTGCTAAATATGGAAGATGGAAGCATGCATCTTCTCTTTCTCTTCAGGCTTGGGATCCTGATTTCTGCTGCTGTTTTTTCCCTATGCTTGTAAGCACATAAAAAATGTACAAATCTGAAAAATCTGAGATCAAAGATAGAGAGGAATAAGAGACTAACAGGCATAGGAGTCCAGTTTACACTGCAAGAAGAGTAGTCAGAAAAATTGAGGTTGGATAGATAGTCTGTGGGAAGTCTATACTCCTTAGGAAGAAAAATGATCTGCCTAGTTATTCGAGGTACTTTCTTATTTTGTGATATCCTTAGTTTGTATTTTGGAACTTAGCTGCAGAATACACCTTCTATACTCTACAAATTTAATAAAAATGGCTGATTTTGTTGTTGTTGTTGTGATAGGTGCGTCTGAAAAACCCAAGCAGTAAAACTTTGATGTACAGTGCTATTCTTGTAGGAAGAGATGCTGATGATTTCTCATTACCTAAAGGAAACACTGTCACAATTGCCCCTAAGTAAGTAATGATTTTTTTAGTGTTATTAATAAATCTAGCAGTATGGAAATACAAACTACTAATTTAATAGTGGTCGAACATTAGGTATGTGTTCAACTAGAAACAGGGCAAAATTAGTCAGTATAAAGCTCAGGCTTTTTCTCCTTAACCTAGAACAAATCCAGAGTAATTTATCAACGGGACACTTGCGGTTTAGCTCAATAGAGCTTTAAGAGCAGAATACAAGTCTTCAGATCATTAGATGAGTCATCTGTGTCCAATAATATTTTTGACCCAATGTATTGAAAGCTTTGATTTTCAGTTTGGATCTACTGTTCTTTTTTTTTTTTCCCCCCAACTAAATTTGAAATACCTCCTCTGAACTTGATTCACATTTTTTACATCAATGCATTGTGGAAGCATGAGCAGGTAAAAATTCTGTCTTCTAAGATCTCAGTTTTTGTTTCTTATTTTTAATTGAAGCATGGCTGGGAATTTAAGAGACCATGACACAGGTTTGATAATAGTGTTAGACTGCTGCTTTTTGCCCCCATCCTCCCTCCCCACCAAGATGGAAACTTGCAGCTGCAATGTAGTTATTTCTCTATCTTACATTTCTGAAAGCCATCTAAGGATTTTGGAGAGATTTAATTTTGGGAAAACATTAGGTTGTTAACTTTTTTGGTAGCAGAAATACTCATGGTATATCACCGTCTTTTTGTTCACTAAGTATGTTTTACTCTTTCTGTGCTATGTGACTTTATGACCAGATACAGGAATTTCACTAATCCCTGTTTAACTAGTGAAGACAAGAGGGATGTAGCAGTGACTCTGGCTGTCAGTTGAGTTTTTAAGTTTAGTCTGCAAGTCTATTTAAGATATTCCTTTGCAGATAAAATGGATTAGAGATTGTAAAAAGGAAAGCGAAGGTCAACATTTGTATGAAAATAACCTGTGAAGAAGAAAAATTTCAAATGTATATTGTCAAATTCAAGAAGACTCAACATAAATACAGTGCTCTTTAAGGATGATCAATATTTCAGTATTAAATGACATGCCTATTGTAAATAGATGCAGAAGGGACAACAAGTAATGCTGTGTTTTCAGCGAGCTGTGAGGCTGATTTGATTCCATTTTCTTTGCAATTACTTCAAATAAGGATTAACATAAAAACGCAATCCTTGAAAATATCGTGTGTTTCTCTGAAAGGTCAATACCATGTCTGTTTTTCACTTCACCTTTAAAAAACCCAAAAAACCAAGACACAAGTAAATGTACACAACCTTGTCATAGAGCTGCTTGGCGTTATATGTAGCAACAAACATTTGAAAAAATGCATAGAAATAAAAGCTTGTGGAAATGCCAGTCATCTACTGGAGACCTCTGCAGAGTTTGTCATAATGTAACCTTACTTGTAATCTCGGTCACTAAATGAAAAATAGGTTCTTTGTAATTAATGGCTTTCTTAATATTCTGATGGAAGTGTTTAAGAACTCAAGCATCAGTGGGATGGGTGGGAGTCTTGTAGGTGCTTTATATTAGATCATAATATCATAGGTGGGTTTGGAAGTGATACTAACATGAATAATAAACCAACACCTCTGTTTAATTGATTATGTGTAGGCTTATTGCTATTAGTGCTGATTGTTACTCGTTGTATAAACTCAAGAAAAATGGTAGAGGATTTGTAGGAGAGAATGTTCTGCTTTCTTTGGAAAGAATGCCTTCAGAGAAGCTCAGAAATGAGGTAGGCTTGTAACAGCCTTCTAGAAATAAAGAAATATATTTATGGCCTAAATAAAAAGTGAGGGAGAATTTTAGGTGTATTCAGTAAGAAATGTGATGTGAGTGTATTAGTAAAACTTAACGGAGTTATTTTTTGACAGGAATGTTAGCATCACTAACTATAACCTGTTCAGGAATAAAAGATGTAAAAATAGCTAGAAAGAGGCACTTCACATTGAAGTTATTTGTTCTACTTTTAGAAGTAAATAATCCATAAATATGGGATTGGAGGCAGATGAATCAATGTGTTAAAAATCACTAAAAATTAATATAGCCTATTTGCTATATCAGAGAACAGGAGTTCTAGTTTAAAAACAAGAGTTATACTTTAAAAAACTTTCTGAGTATCTGTAATGGTACGGACAGCTTAAGGTCAGATATCTCTGCATCCTTGTTCCCCTGAATTGAAACTGTTCCTTATGAATTTATTAATATTATATATAAATATGGATATGCCTTCACCACTAGTTCATCTTTCCCTGCAAGCTAACTTGATACTAGCCATCTTTTTCCCCCCACCGAAACAACAGGTACTTTAGATGAACTCTAAGTAGTTAAAAATTGCAGCTATTGCCTTGTGAAGGCCTGCTGCAGGGCTCCAGTCAAGTTGTAAAGCTTGCTTTGCGAAAGTTTCAGGGTAAAAGGTCAAGGGAAATATTAGCAGTTCAGAGAACATTCACTCATGAGAGTTCAGGCAATTACAGCTGAAAAGATGAACCATAGCGTTCATAGGGAGGCGAAAGAAACTGAAATTTGTCAGTCTTCTGATTGGAGAGCTGGAAGACTTTAAGTAAGACATGTCATGCATAGAGACTTGTCTCTAATTATCTGCCAAATATATATATTCCTATATTTAGAAGTAACTATAATTGGATTTAAGATGACTGTGGGTCATTATAATCACTAATGAGGAATAAGTGTGACTGACTAATCCTGTTGGACGTGCTGGGTGAGCATGCTTGGCATAGAGGATTCTGTAGATGAAGGCCCAGTCTGAAAGAACTGTGTTTACTTTCCAGCAGAGATGAACTGCAGGAAACTGATAAGCTAAGCAGATCAGGGAAAAATTTGAGCAGAAAGGCAAAGGGTAATCATATAATCATAGAATCATTAAGGTTGGAAAAGACCTCTAAGATCATCGAGTCCAACCGTCAACCCAACACCACCATGCCCACTAAACCATGTCCCCAAGCGCCTCATCTACACGTCTTTTAAATACTTCCAGGGATGGTGACTCAACCACTTCCCTGGGCAGCCTGTTCCAATGTTTAACCACTCCTTCAGTAAAGAAATTTTCCCTCATGTCCAATCTAAATCTTCCCTGGCGCAACTTGAGGCCATTTCCTCTCGTCCTATCGCTAATTACTTGGGAGAAGAGTCCGACACCCACCTCGCTACAGCCTCCTTTCAGGTAGTTGTAGAGCGCGATGAGGTCTCCCCTCAGCCTCCTTTTCTCCAGGCTAAACTACCCCAGTTCCCTCAGCCGCTCCTCAGAAGACTTGTTCTCCTAATGAACATTCTGTCTAATGAAGAGGAGTTACTTAAATATATTATGAAGCAATGATGCAGCATTAGATAGAGATGCCAACGATTTTAAACTAATAATAACAAAGTGACAGAAATATGTAATATATGTCTGTATTTTCAAAGAAGCATGACAATGTATACTGTGGTCCGCTACTAGCTGGAGAAACTCACGAATGGCTGTGGTGAGTTAAACTTGGCTGGCTGCCAGACACTCACCCAGACGCTCTCTTACTCCCTCTCCTCAACAGGATGGGGGAGAAAAAATTGCTAAAAAGGTTTGTGGGTTGAGATAGATGGGGAGACTGCTTCTCAGTGACCATCACAGGCAAAACAGACTTGACTTAGGGGAAATTGTTTTAATTAATTTTCAATTAAAATAGACTTTGTAGTAAGAAACAAAGATAGAAGTTAAAACATCACCTCATCTCTTCTCCACCTGCTTCTCCCAGATTCAATTTCAATTCTGTGTTCCAGAGTCCTCTACCTTCTCCCCCTGGCACCCTGAATGGCACAAGGAGTAATGGGGAGCAGGTGGCTGCAGTCACTTCATAACAGTTCCTCTCTGTTTCTCCTTCCACCTCATGCTTTTCTCCTGCTCCTGAGTCCTTCTGTGGGCTGCAGTCCTTCAGGAGAAATTTGCTCCAGCATGGGCTATCCACGGATCACAATTCCTTCAGGAAATATCCAACTGCTCTGGCATGGGGCCCTCCATGGACTATGTTGTGGGTATCTGTTCTGGTGTGGTCCTCTCCACATGCTGCAGGGAAATATCTGCTCTGGCAGCTGGAGCACCTCCTTTCCCTCTCCTTCTCTGATCTTGATGTTCCCACTGGTGTTTCTTACTCTTTTTCCTCACTCCTCTGCCTTTCTGATGTTTTTGCTCTTTCTTCAGTATGCTTTCACAGAGGTGCCACCAGCTTGGCTGATGGGCTCAGCTGTGTCCTGCGGTGGGTCCATTAAGGAGCCAGCTGGAACTGTCTGTGTCCTGCACAGGGGCAGCTCCTGGTCTCTTCTCACAGAGGCTGCCCCTTACAGCCCCCTGCTATCAAAACCTTGCCACCTACACCCAATATCTGTCAAGAATGAATATTTTATATCAGTTGGCTGAGATGAAACTGGCTTTAATCCTAAGCAGCTGAACATCAGGGAAATCTTCCGAAGACTATACTGTCGTTCTGCTCTGGCTTTTGGGATGCATCAGAACATTCTTAGTGTAGCTGAGTGTCAGATCTTGCATATAACGTAATTAATCTTTGATCTGAGATTCCCACTCTCTAGGGCACTGCACTGTGCTATATAGACTTGCAGTTCACAACAGTAATAGCATAAAGGTCTCTAAGCTCTCTTATGTGGTGCAGACATGCCTATAAGTTACTCAGTCTGGGTATCTTAACAAGAGAAATGATGATGACTCGATCAATATTTAAAAGTACCTTCCTGGGAAAGGAACCTGTTTAACTGCAAACAATATAGAACAAAACTTTTTATAAAAACAACAGCTTGAAGCTGGAGTTGTACAAATTCAACCTGGAAGTAGCGAAGGTGATTTGCTATTGAGGGGAAGAAACTCAACTGAATGACAAATTCTTTAACTGTAGGGGTTTTGCAAATCACGGAACATTGAAAATAATACAGGAAGTGACCTCAGAAAGTTATTTAATCCAGCCTTCTGCCTCAGACAGTATGGGGTGCTTTCTCAGAAAAATGCTTCTGCCAAATGGTAGTTATCAGAAGGAACTGAAGGATGATTGGGTCACACATAACAGCCTGCAATGTATAACTACTTCGGATTGTGTTATCTAGTGATTTCTGTTGGCCTTAAACTCTGCAAATTTGATCCCTCTAAACAACTTTTTATCTTTCTTTTCCTACACCAAAGTATAGCAAAAAAAAGAGAATTTGATTGCTTGCTTTTTTGAAAGATGGTACACGCTGAACTGATAAAGAAATTAAGAATTTTTGACCCCTACAGTTTATCAACTGAAGTGGGTGTGGACGGAGCTAGTTGTAGTAATATGAGAATGAACAAGATTATAGAACAATTCCATGAGCTGAATTTTCACTCACTTTACATTGACCACAACACAGATGAATAGAGAAAAAAACTAAGCAACTTTGTCTTTTCCCTGATGCTGGCTTTGCCACAGAAGGCAACAGTTCACAATTCAAATCAGATTTCTCTGCTGTTGCATGAGCCAGAGGGCAAAGATCAGGCAGAATGTTCCATACGCTCCATTTCCCTGTCATTCCTATTTGTGACAAGAGCAGAGTGGACTCCTTAAAACTTGATCCTTAAAGTGGCTTTGGGAGTGGATGTCTCAGGCAGTGTACTTTTCAGGGAGTCTGCAGTCCCAGGATGCATTTTCCAGGATGTTTTGAATGGCAGGGCAGCTTAGGAGCCTCAGACTCTGAGAGGCTTAGCAACTCTTCACTCAAAAATGGTAATGTCTGGGGGCTCTACAGCAGGAACACGAAAGCTGTAGGAGCCAGGTTTTCAGAACTTCCAGGATTTCATCATTGATTCTCAGAACTGAGATCCTGAGACTTCTGGCGTTAGGAGGAACTCGGGGCAATATCATATTCCTTTAACCTAGGTGTTTAGCCTAGAGATAATGCTGGGTTAATTCTATTACCTTTAGTCATCCTTTCTGCAGTTTGGTGAGCTTTTTTCAATTCTGCTATATCCTTTTTGGGGTAGAGAGGTGCAAACAATAATTAAGGCTTGAGCCCTTTGGATGTGATCTGGTGGCCTAATGGTGATGTATGTTGTTGTCTGTTCCTTTTCTAATTATTCCTAACACTTAATTTGCTTTACTGGATGTTTCCCAGCACTGTACTGATGTTTTCATGAAACTATCCATTGCAAATCCCAAGTTCTCAGTGGTGAGTTATAATGGCTTGGAGGCCATAATTTTATGCAAACACAGAACTGCTTTCCCTGTGTGCATCTCTTTAAATCTATGTACACTGAATTTCCTCATCATTTTGTTGTCTCATAAGGTCGTGCAATCTTTGCACTATCAATCTTTGTCCTTACAACCTGGAGCAACTTAGAACATCAGTAAACTTCCTTACTTTCCAGTTGTCACAGTCCCTTGAAGACTCCATTAATGGTATTCCTACATTATGTTTCTTTGCTTCTTTCCTTGCTTCTTTCCTGTCTGCTAGTTTCCTTGTAAATCTATAGTAAGGGACTTTGTTAGAAATAGAAGAATTAAATCACCCTTGATGATGTTCTTGTTGAACTCCTTTAATGAACATGGATTTATAAGGCGTACTTTTGCAGATGTTGACTCCTGCCAGTTAGATCTCATTTATGTAGATCTTGTTTTTAGTAGATATCTTTTATACTTATCCTATTCTTTTATTCTTTATAATTGTTTCTACTACATTGCATGGTAGAGGTTTGAGGCTTAAAGGTCTGTTATTCTCCTGATCTTCCCTAAATTTTTTTTAAAAGATATTGGTGTTCTATTTATCACCATCCAGTTCTCAGCTCCCAAGGTAGTTTTAAGTAAGAATGCTACATATATTTTTTTTATTTTTTTTTTTCCCTGGTCCATCATAAGAATGAGGTAAAGGACCTCCCAGAAAGTTTCCTTGACAGCAGCTATCATCCAGGGACAAATCCTGCCGCTACTCCCATCAAAATAGGTTTATAGAACTTCTGCCATCATTGTTATTGCTCAACTTACATGAAGAGATGTGTGCATTGAGTTCACTTGAAAAAATAGCTGTTATTATGAAAGTTGTGAACCAAATGTAAATTAACATGATTCCATTGAAGACATAGTATGCTAATTGCTATTACAAGTCCTCTACTTCACCACTTACTTGTGTAAGTATATATAGATACAATATGTAACAGGCATATTTCACATACCACTGTTAGTTGATTGCCTGTGCTTTAGAATTCCCAGTTGGCAGAAGACCAGTAAATCACACATAATTTCGCTCTGCCCTCTGTTTTAATTCTTTTCTGTCAGGCTGCACAGTTCCTGTTAATTGTTTAATGGGGAAGGCTGATTTGGGTTGGGGAGAGGCTTCCTTTTGACTTTAGTATCTGCTGTCTGTTCCAGAAAGACAACTAACAAATCTGCAGTTTATAAATATAACCTTTTCCTATATTTTAAGAATTCCTTTGAAGTATTATTTAAGTAATATCAGCTTGAGTAAATGAAGACATTTCAAGATTTTACTATAGATTATTTTCTTTCTGCCATCTCTTTCATACAGTTTGTCGGGGGTAAATTTTAAAATTTCTTTAACTATATAGAATGGCATTATAATGAAAGTATAAACCAGTCAACTGACTTTTTGGTATGTATTTTGAGATATTCTACTTGCAACTCCAAAAATATAGGTCTTTTTCTGTTTAGAGAAAGCACGCTCTGCTCTGGTCATACGTGGAGAAAGGCAGAATATGTTTAGATTCTACTGTTCTCTTGCGTTCAGAACAATCTTACACACTATAATTTTTCTGACCTTCATGCCATCTTAATACATTAATCTCAGAATCAGAGAGTGATTTTGAGAGCTTTAAAGTGCGAGCTTCAGCCACTAAACTTTTCTTATTTACCTTGCTCAGTTGCAGGACTAATGCAAATCAAGTCTAAACTTAACTCTTACCTAGTCTAAACTCTCATTCCATGTGGTCTCTCCTCCAGTTTTCATCAGAGAATTGAGCTGTTGCTTGTACAAGAGAACTTTGTTTTTTCCACCTCTTAATTACTCCGCTTTACTAATTATTCTGAAGGGTTTTTTTACTCATTTCTTTCTCAATCTTCAATGAGGATTTGATTAAGAACATCTAGATCTGCCTCACAACATGCATAAGAGGATGTCTGACTGTTTAACTCACAAAAACCTATTCAAATAGGGGAGCATAAACTAAATCAGTTGTTAACTTAGGGTAATATTATAAGGAAAGAGAACTTTCTGTGCTACTGTGTGTGGGAAGAAAAATTAAGCTATATGCTGAGGTCATAAAAAGCAATAAGGACTCAATATTGTTCTTTTTCTATCTATATAGTTCTTTTGTTAGAATGTTTTAAGGTGCTCTTAGGCAGAAGATTGAACTGCAACAAAGTATTTCAGAAAAAACAAATTACTTTCTTTTCTAGTCCCCATACCTTACAAAGACTCTAAAATGTGCTTCTGAAATGACGTTTCTGAGTCAATTCTGAGTCACATTTTTGTGCCTGTTTAAACTATTATTATTATTTTGCCTAGGAGACAAACAAATATAAATGTGGAATTCACTAGTCGTTTTCTGCGCCCTGCTGAAGCAGTGTTGCTACTGATCTCAAAGCATGTGGGTGGAATAAATGGTGCCACACTGACATTCTCTCTGAAATCTGAAGTCAAGCATATTGAGCCTGCTGTAAGTTTATGTTTGTATGATTAATATTGTCACAAAAATATTGCTCATCTGTACGTTGTATCAAACAAAAGTTAACTGAGGTAAGAATAGAAATGTGAGTTACCATCAGCATTAGCCTTTGACCTGTGAATTTTTAGGTTTCCAATATTAGCCTGTGTACATGCAGAGGAAAGCCTAGAGGAATATCTAGGTTATATATATATAAGCCTAAGGTTATAAATCACACTTAGATCCTGAATAAATTTAAAAATTTTGCACTGATTGCTCTGAAAATAAATCTGGAGACCTTTCAGCATATGAATGCTTTTGGAAATTCCATTGTGGAGGTGTTGATATGCCCCTTCAGCCTAATGATTTCAGTTGTCAGATGTAGATGGACAGCAAACTTCTGTTAGATGTTGCTAGGTTTATTTGTGCTTTTTAAATTTAGACAGCCTTTAGATTTAAGATATATCCCAGAAATAGTCAGAGCAGAGATAGGCATGTGTTCCATCATTTGTTATCAAACATTCATTGAGCAGATCTGGATAGATCCTATTCTAAACTTAGATGGTGTTTATGTGATTCTCTCCCCCCCCCCCCCCCCCCCCGACTCTCTTTTTTCCATAGCAGTAGACACTGATGTTAGAAAGGAAGATTGGGGAAGAGAAGAAAATAGAGGACATGGAAAGATAAGAAGGCAAAAAAATAGCTTGATTCTTGGCCCTGTGCTACTATTTTGAAGAGCATTTAAAATATGAAGTTTAATGCATGTTTAAAAAGAAATAGCCTTTAACCGTGCTTTGCTGGCAACGAAGTCTAGCATTTAAATTATGTTAATTTTGTAGTCACCAGTGGTCAAATACATGGTTCTATTCTTCTTTGTAATATTTTCCTATTTGTTTATGTATTATACATGAATGTAGTTTTGCAACTTTTTCATACTAATATAGTTTTTTGCTTTTTTTTAGGATATATTAAAATGCAAATCGCCATGTTATGAGCTGAAGAAAGTTATCCTAAACGTTACTAATCCCTTCAGAAATGATGGCATATTCAGGTAGACAATGCTGTAAATACAAATCTATAATGATCATGCTGTTTTATCAACTCTTTTCCATAATTTTCTTCTTCTCCTTAAAAATGTAAAACCTTGAGGTTAAATTATAGGGATTTACATTACCAAAATTGTTACAAGCACTATAAAGTGGAAGCTATCATAATGAATAAAGAAGATAAATAAGCCTTAATTGAATTCCATCTCAGTGTAAGCAATAAAGCTAGAGTTTTAATCAAATGGAGTTCATGAACCTTGCTTGTATTTTTGTGTTTGGCTGAGGTCCAGCAGAATTCCAAAGAGAAACAAACCATGTTAATTAATAGTTGGTTATTTTTTCCCCAATCTGCTTTACCCTGCTGTTTAAATTATGAAGCATGCGAAAGAAAAAAACATGCTTTTGCCTTGGGGCTCGCATCACTATCAGTTAATCTAAGTTTTCATTTATATTCATCAGAGATGTAACAACTGCAGAGTTATAAATGTTGCTTTCCTTAATACAAAAGAGAGTGCTGTGCCCCTTTGAAACCTGTTTATATGGTCCGACTCTACATTTTCTCTTTAGTCTATAGAGCTAAACATTGGTTCATGTCATTCATTTATTTACAAGAACCATTTTCCATAACATTTTTAGCTTGTTTTACTAATCTGTTTAATACACACGTTGCATAGGCTACAAATAAAATTTCTCTTTCATCCACAGAACAGGTTTGGTATAGACTCCTGTAACAGGATTGTTTTCACTGCTCCAGCTATGTGCTCTGGCATAAGCCTTCTATGTGGGAATTATATGAGTTTAGTTAGCTTCTGTCTTTTTTTTAAAGTCTGTGAGGTGGTCAGTGAGACTACCTGTAATCAGTTCTATGATGTGGATAAATCTCTTGGAAAGAATGGATTAAAGGCGATGAAGTAATTTAATTCCATTTATATCACTCAAAAGCTAGTTGACAACTACTTGAAGTAATTATCAGTTTGAGCAGCATTTGAACCAGTAATCTAAAATAAAAGATTCTTTGTATCATGTTTCCAGTGTTTTGAACCATCTAGTGTTCTGTCAGGGGGTGCATTGCTTAGTTGCAAATAACACTAGGAAATCCACTTGTGATACCAAGGAAGTAGCTCTTTTGCAGAAAACTGGGCTCCAAATCTTAAAACTAGGTGTATAATGTAGTACAATTTAAGAAAAGGACAAATGAAGAATATGAGCGCCTCTTTGACCTCATGTCAAATACATAGCAAATGTCAGATAGTTCCAAAAGCTGTAAATTCTGCACCCTAAACTAGTCATTGCCTAGCATTTGGCCGTTTGTTAGATGTTACCCATTCTATCAACTAAATAATGTACATAAAAGGAAAGAAGGTCAGAATCTTCTAGGAAAAACTAAAGTGAAGCAGTTGCTTGTGGTTTGTCAGGGAAAACCCAATTTACTCTATCTTAATAGATTCATTATTTACAAAAGCAAAATAAAATTACTTGAGCTCTTTTCTTCAAATGTAAATGACTCAATTATTCAATCATTTAATTTAGTACATATCATAGTATAAGTTACATTTCAGAAAATTATTTCCAGTTAAAGTATATATATGATTTGTCTTAATACTGAAATGGGCATTATTTTTCTGGTTTTCTTTTTTCTTTTTTTTTTTTTAATTTTTTGAAAAGAAAATTGAAATTGTTCTGCATGTTGTGACGTAGCTGTAGACCATCCCTACAGTTACAAATCTACCTATGGTATTGATGAGGTAGTAGTTTATGATATTTCCCAATAACCCTTGAATAAGTGTCTCAGGATTTTACATGCTTACATGAGCTTTAAAAATTACATGGCTTAAATTGTGCAAAATGTTTTAAGTTGTTAAATAAAGATGATTTAATAAATTATTAAATAACTAGTTTTTAAAAAATCTGTTTAAATCTTTTTTTAGCGTTCTTTTAAAGTATCCCCAATTGAAAATAATAAGCTTCTTTAACAAGCCTTCATTTAAAAGTTAGAATAACTGAGTTTTGTCTTCATTCTGCAAGTTAAAAATGTGGTGATTATGTCTACTTGCCATACTCCAGAGTCATTTTGCTGGAATCCACAAGTTACTTAATGCAGCCAGAGCAAGTATATCAAGCCAGGCAAGTAAAGCAAGAGCAAACATTCAGGTGAGTTTTAAATGGCAATTGCTAATTATAATATATTGAATTACACAATTCTATTAGTATGACATCTTTGTGTATAGCTGTGTGCATACCCATTGTAAAGAATTACAGGTTAGGACATGGAAATATTGTAGAATTATGTGACATTTTAAAAACACTTTACAGATAACTTACTCAAACAGTGGAGAAAAGATTAATACCATGTAAAAGATAAAAATGGGTGTAATATACCATTTGGAAGAAGTGTTAGAGAAACTAGGATTGAAAGGTGAACTATTGATGCTGGGATAGGGGCAACCGTGGTGACTTAGGTGACTGAAATGCTGAAAACTAGTTCCAGTTCCCTATAACAGGATTAGTTCTGATTCTTGGAATGAAGAAGGTAGAGATATTTGAAGATGCAACAGTAAGGTCAAGTTTTTATTTATAAATAGGCGGTCTATAGAATTCTAATTGTGGTGAAGTGTAAAATGTTACAGGTTCAGTAGGCTCCTGGAGATGCAAAAACAGAATAAGAGGTTATTAGTGTAGATATATTGATATAAGTTAATATAATTTTGTGTCTAGACATTATAGCTTAACTGACCACGAACAGGTTTTCTAACACAGGGAATCTGGAAGGAGAAGGAGAGTTCACAGTAAGCGTGGTAAAGGTAATAAAATGGCAAAGAATAAAAAACAGAGAGTAATTGGAATGGGAGTCAAGGAGAGATATAAACAAAGATCTATGCTTAAGACTTATAGTCTGAAAGAAGGTATTTCTGCCTTCACTGTCTTTAATTGTTAGACAGTGAGATAAATACCAATAAGTTTAGATGAACAGGCAGAAATCTTTGCGGGCATTGAAGAGGTGAGATGTAAATCAGAATCACTGATAGTCAAGGTTAAAAGAGAAAGAGAGAATCAAAAACGTTTGAGAACTAAAATTTGTGGCACTCTAAAGTGGCTCAGCATAGAGAAAGAACTACCACAAATATCTGAAATAATTTTTGGAACTTGCCAGATGCTAAGAATTGCACTGTTGTAATAATTGACAGTTTAATAACTATTTTTCAGTCATAGACTGAAAGTGTTAATTCCAAACCTTTTTGATGATAGATTTTGCATTCACATATTGGGTAATTTATTTATAGAGATCCATTTCTCTAGTCTTCTGTCACTTCAACCATGTTTTATAATTATTTATTCATAGAGCAGTATTTATAATCATCAGTTGGAATAATACAGTAGCTAAAAAAACCCCAACAGAAGTAAGAAGCCAGCCTACAGGAAAGATAACCAAAGCGTGACCAATCAGATTTCTTCTCATAGAGGCAGGATCTAGGTTTGAAAATACACCATCAGCAGCCTTCTCACAATACATGTGAAAAATACTCCAGCCCAGAAATACTATCAAGAAAGAATACTATAGCCACCAGAACACTATTACATAGGTGTTTTAGGTGGATGCGTTCAACGATACTGTCCCCCATTTGTATTCTGTGGGCTGCACTGATTGTCAGTGTCCTGTGCGCTTTGTGCGCTTACAGCTAAGCTACACTTATCAGGTGTGCTACAATAGGTGAACCTCCAGTGATTAATGATTGTTGTTTTGAAATGTGCAGCCAACATCAGCACAATGATTTTTGTCCAAAAGCTGCAGATATGTTTAGCAAGGCCTGTATCCAAGGGGAAATAGCCATGTCTGTTTCATGTAATGCGTGCTAGAAAAAGTCTAGCTGTAACTTCCAGTTACTCTGATAAGATCTCCAAACTCTCAGCCTACTAAACAAATGTTGGACTGCTTTGTTTGGACTTTACTTCTGTTCATATTTTTTGCCAAAAAGACACTTGGTCTTTTCTGAATGTAATTCAAAATGTGATGTAATAAAGAATTAATGTTCATATCTTCTATGCTATCAATTCTGATGGGAGAGATAGATAACATTTAGAACTCAAATGCCATTAGCATATTGCAGAGTAAAGGGCTCCATCTTCAATTTAAGCAAGAGAAGAAATAAGCTGGAAAACTGTATAACTCTTATTAAAAATTCTCTTAGGACAAAACAGTGATTTTTCTAAAACTACTGTCTATTGCCTCTTACTAAGACAGAAAAAATAATACAGCCACTCTGGTAACTCCATCAATGTCTACAGATTTTACTAGTGTATTGTACTTAGAGGTATCAGAAGCTGTTGAAATAGAAAAGGATTTTTCATCATCCTGCATATTTCAGCTTAATTTATCCCTAGGAAATAAATCAGTCTAAAAAGTGTAATTTTAGTCATGCATCCAGGCCTCACTCTTACTGACATTTATTTGAGGGCATCTTAAGTCTTTAGAAATCTCCAGTATTGATTTTCTATAGTTTTAGATGTTTCTGTTACCTGTGATAATAGAAGCCACTCTTTTTAAGGAGATCTTTTTCTTGAATGGAACATAACAAACTTCTGAAATTGTGTTAAAAAATTAGTATGTGTGCAATTCATAACTGACCAGTAAGAAGGTTATACCTGCAATCATTTTTATTCTTTTGATAAATCCAGAAAAGGCCTTCTACAAAATGGGGGCCCATTGTTCTAAGTGCTCCATAAGCATAAATCGACTGTGAAATCAGTGCTTATACTCTAGGTAATTGTGTTTACATGATTGATGACATTTGCATGCTTCATTCCTAGCAACTTAATTATCCGTGCAGGTCCAAGTGGGTCTCCTCAGTCTCATAGTTCCTTCTGTGTTCTCATACTATGCCCCCAGGTGTGTCAGACATACCACTTTAAACCTCACTGTAACAAGCTTTACCTGGCTGGTAGCCCTCTTACCTACCACCTTTCCCTCTGGCAATATCACAGGCACCCAAAATGGTGTCATTCATAC